CACACAACTCATTATTATCTGAACCCAGCGTATAACGCTTCAGGGTATTTTAGGTGATCACATGCTCATGGCAGACACGCATTCTCACGCAAGTTCATCACATGCCTCACTCTTGGCATACGCAATGCGTGTCCATGTTATGCAATGCAATGCATCACGAGCACCACTATAATTCAGACACCCAATGTCACAACACGTGCTTAATTGGCCCAATTAATACCGTGTGGCCTAACGTGCGATTCACAAATCAGTAAATCATTGTAAACCAAACAATGGCCAATCGCACTCCATAAAATCAGCCACACCACATACGACATAGCAGTACGAAATCAATCACAATTAAGCACAATTGACGTACAATCAGTCAACCCGGACATACCCGGTAATTTTCCAACGGGCTCCTAAATTGGTCATTTAATCCAATTAATCTCCCCAATTAATTCTCATTAATCTACTAAATTTCCCAATGATAATTTCTACCAATCCGTCCTCAACCCAGTCTGAAATACACACTGCTATTATCTAAGCCAGTCCAAAATGCACCGATAATACCTAAACCAGTCCAGGAAAAACGCACTATCAGTCCTAATCCGGATTTAGGAATTTTACTCACTTAATTTCTGGACCACGGCGACGGGGAACGGCGGCCGATCACTGATGAACAGTGAAACCGGCGGCGGAATTCCCGACGCGCGTACTGTTCACGCGCACTGTTTCACGGGGGGACTGTTCACACTGTACGGACTGTACGGACGGCGGGCGGTGCCGGCGAGACGGCGGTGACGGCCGCGGACGGCCGTACGGACGGCGACGCACGGACTGCTACAGTACCGACCGTACGGACACCGTGCGGCCGGCGACGAACGGCGACGTACCGACAAGCTGGACGGCTGGGTGGCGACGGAAGGGCGATCGGAGCTCCGGCGAAGCTCCGGCGAGGCTCGGACGCGGCGGCGGTGCTTTACCGGGAGAGAAAAAGAGAGAAAAATAGAGGGAAAGGGAGAGAGAAAGGGCTGGACTGAGGCGAGGCTGAGGCTAGGGGCTGTGGGGGTTGACGGCGGGGCACGGCGGTCGGCGGCGGTGCTCCGGTGGCCGGCGGCAAGCTCCGGCGAGCCAAAATCAAGAGAGAAAAATGAGAGAAAGAGAGGGAGAAGCTGCTGTGGCTGGGCTGATCTGCCGAGAGGGAGGGCTGAGGAGAGAGAAAACTGGTCTGAGTTGGTCAAAAAGGGCAGCCCATAGTGCCACGTGTCGCCGATCCGTGAAAAATGACCAAAACGCCCCTAATCTAACGGTTCTAAAGAGATAGGCTTAAATAATTGAGGGGCAATTGGGTCTTTGGTGCCAATAATGCAGCTGATAACCACAGTTACTTATCCCAAAAATTTCCCAAAAATTCGGACCCGAAAACAGCCCAGGGGCAAAACCGTCATTTTTCCGGTCCCGGGGCGAAATTCCAATTTTCGCACATACGTGTTCCATATGTGCGTGGCCAACATAATATGGCGTCGGATTCGCGAAATTCACTTTCTAAGCCCTCGAAAATCGACTGCGAAGTTTCGGGAATAAAATAATATTATTTTTCCAATTTTTGTCGAAATTCCAATTTTTGGTCAAAACCACTCTAAATGTGCGTGGCCATCCCAAAATGACCTTGGCCGCGAAAAATAACCTCAAACGGCCTCCGAATCCAGCCTCGGTGCCCACAGGGGCAAAACCGTAATTTTTCACCCCCGGACCGAAATTCCACTTTTTCTCGTACTAACTCCAAACGTGTGTGGCCAGCGTAATATGACGTCAGATTCCCAAAAATAGTCTCTTAAGCCTTCGAAAATCGATATCGAAATCCGGGCCCAATTTCGTGATCAAAACTCGCTCGAGTTTCAATTTCAGGGTCTCTGGCTAACGGGCGGCTGTTTAGGACATACGCGTATCGACCTAGGGTTATTCGAATTACGACGGTCCCGATCATTGAGAGAATGAGAAATTATCATTAGTTCCAAAGATCACGATCGTTAGGTTCAGGTTCAGGACTGGTTGGCCACGTGCACTTTCGGTCTTGCAGAATCACCTGCGATCCGATTGTACATCGTTGGCCTTGGCCAAACCAAATCCATCACCTTTCCTAAGATCGGCCCACGTTGGCCCAAAATATTCACTCATCGTATCTCGAGATCGGTGTCCCGTTCACTGTCGAGTCCCTGGTCCACGTACCGTTTCCTAGTTAGCCATACCCCATTGGTTAGTATCCCGAGAGTGATCAGCTCTGGGCGAGACTTACTAAAATGAAATGCGAAATATTGTCAATTTTATTGATCCCGGAATTACATCGAAATTCGGGCTGTTACAGTTATACTCCAAAACTGGAACCTAGAACCGAATTGGGGAACCGGTTCCTGGAAAACTTGAAACCCGAATCCAAATTGATCTATCCTATAATATGCCTGGAATCAAACCGACCAATTCCTGGGTAAAACGATGAACCTATCCTCCAACTTTTTTATAGTTTTTAGCATATTAAAAAAGAACAACTTTTTTATTTTATTTTGAGTTGAGACTGTGTCTTTTTAAGCCCTTATTTTTTTATTATCTTTAGTTGTTAACTTGTTAACAAGCAATTTTTAATATATACACACACACTCACCGTATCAGAGCCGTTTCAATATTGAATCTACTGGAACTGGCTCGGTCTATTGGTTCGTGAATAAAACAAATGGGTTCAAGGCTCAACCTTGAGACTAAACCAAACAGGGTCAGTTCCCAAGTTTTGAACTCGTGAATCTACTCGGTTCTCCCTAGAACCGGCCTTGAATTAGACCGGCCAGGACTATTCATGATAGTTCCGGGTAGAACCTGAACTATTGCTCCCCCATAGATAAACTTACATTCATTTAACCAATCTTTTGTAGGTTTTTTTTCCATTCATCTGCTCTTCATTCCATCGTACCAGACATGCGACTGACCTTTAAAAATCATCATAGGATGGAACACAAGGAGAAATTTTCCTAGTGTACTGAGAGATCAAGTTATCAAACATGTGAGCAGTGAAAGGTTACCAAAAATACACCAATTATATCCTATCTACTTAAAAAATTCCCCGACAGAATCCACAATTTAGACTTTAAGCCAGAAAGCTCTTATAGTGTCTCAAATACTCTGCGAGCATTTCTTAGAACTTGATTTGCAATATCCTAATAGCATTTCAAACGGGAGAGAACTTATGGCCCAACACATAAGTAGACTTCGACTTAACTATTCCATTTGGGAGCTTTGTTCATGAGGATTGAGTACTCCAGTCGGAAGCCGGGTAAATAATATGGTATATTAAAGCATTACATCAGTCGGAAGTGTGGAAACTAAAATGTGTCACGCGCAACTGTGACATTCTTGAATTAACTCACTCGAGATATTGTCTGTTTTGGCCGGTCTCATACCGAGCCTCACGGTTTTGTTCTTGGCGTACACGCAGCCACTTTCCTAGGAGTTCACCCATCCTGGTAGTGGCCTAGCCTAGGCTTGCTTAACTTTGAAGTTCCAAAACAAAGTTTGCCGTTACATAAAAAGGCGCATTTGTGAGTTAATTTCAATTTTTTACATATATATTGTTAGAATATGTCTCGAGTTTGAACCTATTAAACCACCTTATCCGAATTGAATTATGTGTCTAATGCATGAAAATTCAAAGCAAAATCTTAAAGATTACGGAAATAATTTCCGTATTGAAGATGCGGTCAAGAATGGAAAGAGATATCAGCTTGGGCTTAGTATTGGACAAAATATGTTTTAAAATCCACGGAAAAATATCCTTTGAGTTATTAGAGTAGGCAAAGGAAAGAAATAAAAAGAAAAGAAAAGAAAAGTTAATATTGGATTCCAAGTTGCAGGAGGAAACAAATATTCTTTCCTAATTGATGTTGGAGTCTACGGCTTGAATAAGAAAGCCCAACGTGGCTTTGATTTGGACCATGATTCGGTCAACTCTTGGGCAAATATAATATATTCTGTGGGCACCTGGGATGGCAGTGGTTGATGAGTGCAGAGCGTGGTCATCGTGCCGTCCATAAACAGAAAAGGCTCGAAGCGCCTAGACGAGTGCTTGACAGTGAGTTTCGTGGATCTTTCTTCAGCAAATTACATTCAAGGGTTCAAGTGTTTGTAGCGGATTGAATCTTGTGTAAGATTTGTTAATTTTTTTGTGAAATTGAGAGATTATTTCGTGAGGAATTGTAGGCTAAACACTACGTGAGTTATTTGATATAATTGAGACTTAGGAAACACCGAGAGTGTTTGAGTGACTCAATTATGGCTATAATCTCCGCTTGATCTTGAGTGGAATTCGTTACTGTTCTCCCCGTGAACATAGATCACTATGATCGAACCACGTAAATTTAGTGTCCGATTTATTTTCTTGTATTGTCAATTTTATCGTTCGATCGCTTGCTTCTACAACATATATGTTAGATTCTCTCTCCCCTGTTCAGTACATCTTCACCATCCTAGAAGCTTGTTAGGAGCCGCATCTTGCTCAAGCCCTTTGGTCCTGGTGACCACTTCCCACCCTTGTCGGACCGGGTCATTACAGCAACAAAGTGTTGCGCAGAAGTCATCTCTCATATCTTTGGGTACAATAAAAAGGTTTTGAGCTACGTGGACCCGCATTGCCATGCCACATCACATATATGGAGTTTAACATAATCATCAATGCCAGGTCAACATGTATAACTTAATTTGGGATTGATGTTGCGCACCTTGAAATCTCTATACAGGACTCTAATGAAAGAATCCCAATTGAGATTCGAAGTCCTGAAGTGAGCAGGATATGGTTCCGGTTTTTCCTAGAAAATTCCTGGAGACCGGTCAAACAACACCTGGCATTCGAAGCCAATTGTAGATTATGAAATGGCTCCAAGGCCTAGAGCTGACAATGTTTTCTTAAAAACCAGGCAATCCTATCAACTTTAGATTTCATATTTTAACCTATTTCAAGCTTAGAATATGAAATGGCTAGAAGTCTTTCGAAAGGCTGGTTAGTCGGTCGCATGTAACCTCCCAGGAGTTGCTTAGTCTTTTGTCATTCAAAAGATAACTAATTGTTTCAGGGCAATCTTCCCGCTGGTGGTCATCAAGTCCCTGTCAAGGGGTACAAAACTTATGGCTCGTACCGAAAATGCCGCGCCAACTAACCTGGACACGCTTATTCGAAATACAGGTCAACTTGATTCTCAGGGATTCACTTGAATACTGAGAGATTCTCAGAGGTTCACTTGAATAATTGCCTTTGTTCAATGAATCCCTTTTCCTGTCAGAGATCTGTAAGTCGCCTGTCAAGACATACACATTCGTATTGCAAAGTCTGTGTGAAAATAAAAATGCAGAATTTCGACCATTAGTTCATGGCAAAGTTAATTTTTAACTTTCTCAAATTGAGGGAACGCTGACCTTTCAGCACAGAATATTACGAGTGTATGAAAACAGAAAAAGATGTCGATCATCATCTTCCTTCGACAACAGAATTCGTGATGGTGTTCGTGGACAAGATGCTTTCCCATTGTGACTCGATATCGTGACTTGAAATTTCACGTTTGAAGGTGAATGTAGGTTGTCTCGGCTAAGGAAGATCTGATTCACCACTCAGCATCAGAACTATGGATGACATGCTGGGTCGGTCCATTGTGTGGTCCTGCACACAGAGAAGCCCTACCTGAATGCTTCTCATTGCTTCTGATGGCAAACAAGTATGAACAATCACTTCATCTGTTAGGTCAAGTCCTCTATCTTCGCTCCACAATTGCCATCCTTGCAAGAATTAGAGATCATAGGGCGCATAAATGGCCGAAAATATTATAGATGATCACTTGAGACTGTATTCCTCACACTTACATAGGAAAGAAGATTGAAATGCTGGCCTCGGTAGTATAAGCTCCTGTTCTTTTTGCCAGTGACGATCTCAAGTAGCAACACACCGAAGCTATAGACATCGTATTTCTCAGAAAATATCCCTCCCATGCCATACTCGGGAGACATGAATCCTCTGCAATTGATTTGATCATGTTAATCACTCAAGTTATAGAGTTTCCTAATTGAACTGATAATTCCAGCAACAAGGCTTGAAAACTTAACGGTGTTCCAACAACTTTGTGAGTATTTAGCAAAACTTGAGTGCCTTCAAAGATCCGGCCAACCCAAAGTCCGAAATTTTTGCGTTCATTTTCTCATCCGAGAGAATATTGCTTGCCGTCAAATCTCGATTTATAACTCGAAGGCAAGAATCTCGATGGAGATTCAGAAGCCCACTTGCAATTCCTTGAATGATCCGGAAACGTATATCCCAGTTAAGTTCTGCTTTCCTTCTTGAATCTAAGCGAGGAAGAAAACGAAAAGAATTCGTAACTTGCAGTACTACTAAAATATGTATTATTTCCATCAGCACAAGCATGACTTGAAGAGAGTGAGACCAACCAAAAAGAAAGCAATCTAAGCTTTTTTTTGACAAGTATTCATATACTAGAATTTTTTCTTCTCCTTCGGTGCAGCAACCCATGAGTCTGACCAGATTTCGATGCTGAAGCTTGGATATAAGAATGATCTCATTCTTAAACTCTTCCATGCCTTGACCTGAGCTACTGGAAAGTCTTTTGACAGCTATTCCTTTCCATCATTCAGCTTTCCCTGTTTCCGAACTCATAGCAGTGTCTGACCTTGAAAAATTTCATAAAAATTCACTAAATGTACATTTTAGAGAAGGCGCTTACCTTGTAAACGGGGCCAAACCCTCCTTGGCCAAGTTTATTTGTTCCATCAAAGTTGTTGGTCGAAAGAAGTAAGCTACTAAAGTTGAACAGCATTAATTCGGATGCATCATCTTGCTTCAGCTGATCTTTCCATGCATTTCCATGTGACAATGCTCCTGTGTTATCAGTTATATACGGTGAGTCAAGAGCCTTGGGAATTTTGGTAAAGTTTCTAGATTACATTTAACGTGAAGTGAAGCATTAGACATGAATTATTCGTACCTGTTTTGCTAGCTCTCCACTTGTGGAGACCGAAAATAGCAGCTCCTACGAAGACGATGCTAAGCACGGTACTTACGCTGATGATAAGTCTTGCTTGTGTCGACATGCCCGACATGAGAAAAGAATTGCAGGATATGTGATGCAGTTCAAAGGAAACTCATTGTAGTGAAACCTCTTATACCTGTATTGTCATGTGCGACACGAATATATACATCTTGCCCAGCTGTTGAAAACTTCTGAATATCGATCAGATATTTAGCCCAGACCAAACACCCTATTGTGCCGACATAAGAATAAGCCAAGCAAGAACAATTATTCAGGCACCAGCTTTGGCATCCTCCTTCATCTCCGATGTCTGATAAATAATCCGCAGAATCAGGCACTTTCATCTGGTTCATTTGCACAAAGACATCTTTCTTCACCTGCATCGAAGCCGACCGGCTTGCGTTCTTCTGACAATTCAATTCCATTTCTCTAATGCACCCCCTGGTCCAATTCCTAATGTTCCATTATTCTTTCGATCTAAGCATAAACCCCTTTACACAACAGCAGATAGGAGAGGTTAGTGAGTTGCAGATGCCAAAAGGACCGCAAGTTCCATAAACTTTGCAACTGTTGCTCGGCACTGCCCAATTTGTGAACCAACTCTTGGATCCACAATCCCATTTTATTAATGCTAGAATTCCTCCATGTGAAATGAAGCCATAAGCAAGCAAAGAGTTGTTATTAGAATCAGCAGAGAAATAAGTGGTTCCCTGCTGAGGATCTTGCTGGAGAACATACCCGCCAAAATATGAGGAATCCATTTCTGGTATGCCGATGAAAACCGATTTAACCCATGGTCCACTTCTCCAATGAGGGCTCGAGCCATTCCAGGAGAAAATTTGCGGCGGTGTCTCCAACGTAATCCCAGTGACGAAATTTCCAGAAGATGGATCGTCGCCGTTTTTTCAGGAAAATAAGTACTGTCTCTCTCCGGTTCTGTTGGTTAGTCCTATCTTCATATTTGGTAGAAGAGTATCAGTTGGATCATCAAAGCTTGCCCACATTTCAACAGAATTTCCGTCTTGTAGAACAAAGTTTCCACCATCTGAAAGCATTGCTGCAGTACAATTTGAGTGGACAGAAACATTGGTGGACCACACTATGTTCTGTTGCTCATCCACAAGCTTCAGATTCCCGTCACTGCCTATTGTTAATTTTGTAGATTGATCTGAATGGGCAAGCGGTGTATCCCTATTGGCAACCCAGAAGATCTTGGATGGAGTCATGTTCTTGTACCATATGCCCACATATTGATTTGCTGATCCATTAGGGGTGAAGAAGCTGAGCTCGAAGATTGACTGGAGGACACGACTTAGGTTCTGAAAGAGTGGTTCGGCTGCAGTAATGTTAAAAACTGCAGGGCTCTGATGTGCCTGAAGAATGAAGAAGATAACCAACGAAGAGTAGAGACTGATCATAACCAGCATAGTAATCCTAGTCCGTTACTGACAACCAAAAAAAAATACTAGTGCATTCAGGTGTCGGGAAATTCAGAATGTTAAAAGGCTCCCAATTCTTCACTTTTCCTTTTTGCCTGCAGATCTGAAAGGAAGACAAGATTTCTGCAAACCAAAGTGTGTTGCGAAAGGTGTGAGGTCATAAGTCCTTTTGGAGATAGTTTCAAAGGTTATGTTATTGAACAAATTAGTTTTATATTGGAAGCTGATGATGCCTGTCCCAGTTCAACTACATTCCCAAAAAAGCCAAGAGATCATGATGACATTGGTGTTTGACAAATCAGTTTCGATTACGCCATAGCAGTTTCATTGTGAGTCAGATGGTGGCTTTTAAAAAGAGAACTGTTTTTGGATGAGAAGCCAGTAGACATTGGCATTCTTCTCATGGCCGTTGTTCAAAGTTGACTTAGCCTTCCAGTGTACAAATGATATATGAGGGGTTGAAGCCAGTTCTGATAAAATTTGTGGCCATCTGTTTCTGTTAATGCACTAGCACAAGTTTCATGTTCAATGGAGTTAGAAATAATATAGGGTCCAAGTAAAAGGGTAACTCTTGAGCACTTCAGTTTAAGGATCACATAGCTCCGATTTTGATCATTAGCTGACATCACGCTTCCATTTTCATGCGAAGCTTATCCGAAGTGAATTGTTCAGTCATTCAAGCTTCTCGCCATTTTCTGTCTTCCTTCCTCTTCTTATATAACTAAGAATTATTCTATGGCTGCAAGGCAGCAATTTAATTGCCACAGGCATAGAGGACTTCGTACCAAATCTGGAGAAGGTAAATAATATCTGTGAATCATACTGAAGTTGGAAATACCTTTTGATGTATCAATCCTCATGCTTCTTTTGTGGGAACTTTAGTTTATATTTGGTAATGATATCTTTTGTCCCAAAAACCAGAAAATCAAATATTCATAACGCAACTGGTGGTGAGTGCAATGGTGATTACTTGGTGATACCAACAGTTCTGGCAATTGTAAATCAGAACAAATTCCTGCGTTGATTGTGTTCCTATCAAAATAGTAAATACTCCAAACCCCTACTTCGCAGCCTAAAATCCATGAAAAAATGGAGCAGTTCAATCAGCCTTTTGTCCGGAGCAGACTATAGCCATCCTTGAATTGAATAAACACTAATATCTTAGAAAATAACAACAAACTCATCTCCAAAAAACAAAAATAAAAATGAAGAAAAACAGGCATCATCTTCCTTCGACCATTGTATTAGTGACAGTGTTAACAGACCAGATGCTTTCTTGCTGTAATGGAATAGAACGATTTGGCATTTCAGCTTGGAAAGTGAATATAGGCTGTCTCGGCTGTGGAAGATCTGATTCGCCACTTAACATCAAAACCACATTCGACATGTTAGGTCTGTCCGTAGCACGGTCTTGAACACAGAGAAGCCCGACATGGATGCATCTTGTTACCTCCAATGGGGAGCTAATAGCAATTGCTTCATCCTTTAGGTCCAATGCTTTGCCTTCACTCCATAATTGCCATGCCTACAAAAGAGAGAAAACTGTCAAAATAGTACAGGGAACTTACAATAGATATTACGGTTGGAATTTGGCACTTACATTGGAAAGGAGATTGAGATCTTGGCCCTGGTCATATGCGGCCGTGTTCTTTTTGCCCCTGACGATCTCCAGTAGCAACACTCCAAAGCTATAGACATCGGATCTCTCAGAAAATATCCCGCCCATGGCGTACTCAGGAGACATATAGCCACTGCAGTTAAGTTAAACATGTTAAATACTCTTTGATTGTATTGAAGGACAATGGAATTAAAACATGCATAAAGTCAGAAGTTTGTTGTGGTAAATCAAACGTTTCTATCTGCTTGAAAAGATTGACTCAGCGGATTGATAATTCAAATAGGACTACAGAGCTTACAGTGTTCCAACAATTTTGTGGGTGTTCACCAAAACTTGGGTGCCCTCGAACATTCGTGCGAGCCCAAAATCCGAAATTTTTGGGTTCATCTTTTCGTCCAAGAGAATATTGCTCACTTTTAAGTCTCGATGTATGACCCTAAGGCAAGAATCTCGATGAAGGTATAGAAGCCCCCTTGCAATCCCCTGAATAATTTGGAATCGTCTGGCCCAGTCGAGTTCTGCCTTCTTTTGTGAATCTAACAAACATGACAAACAAGACAGTTTTCAAGTTTTAGTGCTATGTAAAAAAATACATTATCAAAATATA